ATCCCAGGAAGACTCCCCTTATATCTTATCAGGGCTGTGACCTGATTAAGGTTGTTACACCCCACCCTAATCTCCTTAACAATTGATTAGATCACACCATGGCAGATGATTGCATCTTCATATAACTGCAAAAATGTATCATTACATAACTGCGAAACCACTGTGAATCATGGCCCAGCCAAGTTGACACATATTTTGGGGGAACACAATTAAATCCATGGCCATAGTAATCAAATATTTTTAGTCTATAATGAATTAAGAAGGTACAGTGAAGGTGTAACTTGAGGTGCGAAAAGAAATGCTTTTCTTCGAGCAACAATGGGATGTCAGGTTGTAAAATTTAAGGGGTAATGGTGTGATCCAGTAGGACTCAGTCTAAGGGGGTACATTCCTTCGTGTTTTTAAAGCTTGTTTAATGGGTTAGGAATAACCCTTCAAGTTGAACTTCTATAAATACAGCAAACATCTTCACTCTGATTCCAAGGATTCGGAATCCATGATAATGACCAACAGTTAAAGTTTACCTTTAAACAGTACACAGGGAAAAAAGTAATTGTTCTCTAATGCAGAAGTTTTAAATTTAGTTGTACATCAGAATCATCTGGAGACTTTATAAAAGAGAAAAGAAAAGATTTCCTGGCTTCTGCCCAGACCTTCTGTATCAAAATCTCTAGGTTGAAGGCTTATGAGTCTGGGTTTAAAGCTTTGCAGTTATTTCTTTTGTAGTCAGCCTTGGGGAATCATCCTTCTAAGTGTTTTATAATCTTGACAGTATATAAGAATCAAGTGGGCAGATTTAAAAATAAATAAACAAAAATAATGGATGATTGAGACCAACTCTAAAAAAGCTAGAATAGCCTCTGAGGGGAAAGCCTGGCATTTGCATTTTTAAATCTTCTCCTAGCTATTCTAATGCAAAACTTTTTATTTTTAAAATTAATTGTTTTGAGAGGATTGTAGATTCACATTCCCTCAGCCTGTTATGCAGTTCCTGCCAGTGGTATCATCTTGCAAACTATAGTAGACTGTCACAGCCAGGATATTGACATTGATGTATTCAAGATAGAGAACAGTGCCATCACCACAAAGATGCCCTTTTATAGCCAATTGCACGCCCCCCCCGCCCCTCATTTACTGCTGGCAACCTCTGTGTGTTCTCCATTTCTAGACTACTGTGATCTTAAGAATGTACAAAACCTTTTTCAAAAGGTAGTGTTTCACTTTCTAAAGAGAACATATATGTTATTTGTCATGATTATGACATGATTAATTAATAGCAGCGTACCTAGTAGTAATGCTTTTGAAAGAAGAAAACACAACAGATGTTATTGAACGTCTCTTCTGCAAAGACAGGGAGCACACCTTCATAGAACTTACAGTCAGAGGAAGAAACAGATATTAAATAAATGGATAAATATAAGATTGCAAAGTATGATTGGTATTTTGAGAAAACTCAGTGACAAGAGAGAATGACATGGGCATAATTTAGATACTGGAAAATCAGAAGTAATTTAAAGTTTCTAATAACCTTGATAACTCTTTAAGTGTAAGATGTATAAGCTTCAAACTGAACTTTTTCCACAGGTATGCTAATTATGACAAATTAGTCCATTTACTAGTTTTGCTGGCCTATCCTTGCCTCTAATTAGTCTAAAGTTATTTAGTATTTGATTTTGCAAGGGGTTTCGGGGAGGGGAAGGATTTGTCTCTGGCCTCCTTTCTTTCCTCCAGTGGACACATTTCAAATGCTGAATAGAATAGAATAGTATTATAAAAATCATGGTTGTTTATTAATCGACTCTTCTATTTGTGATTTGGAACATTTGCTGTTAGTGTGTTTCTTCACTAAATGTCTGCAAGCACACGTGATAGCTGTATCATTATAAAAATGCATATTAAGAATGTTTTTATCAGTTTATATATAACCCTATAGATTGTGGGTAAGTTACAAATCTGTTTACCATAAAGTATGCAACATCTGTCAAGAAAAATTACTGTGGTGGGATTTAATTTAGTATAGCTGAATAGTTTATCAGATATGGTGTGTGTCTGAAATTTAAAAGCTGTTCTAAACTAACTCTTGGACCAGTTTTCAATTGCAGATAAAAACAAAGTATGGAAGTAATATTTTGAATGTGTATGATAAACATGTTGGAGCATACATTAATATAATTTCCCTACAAGAGGTTAGTTTTGGCTTTTCACAAAAAACAGTGATATTTGCCAA